AGTGACCCCGTAAGCCACATCGTGGTAAACGGAGAAGATTGTCGTCGTCAGGGGCTTCCTTTTACGTGGATCCACAGGCAAAGCCTGGGAAGGTAGCAGTCAAGAAATGAAGCAACAGATCGCATGGGCGAATTTGCTGCTTAAGCCCTTTAAAGTGTTAAAAAGTAAAGATGTCTCTGAGGATTAAGGTGTGCCTGGTCCAAGCCATGGTCTGTACCTCCCAGCCATCAGCCATGGTGCCCCGGCAAAGCCCTGATGAGGTGTGTGGGTGTGCCATGTGTGGGGTCACCCTGGCAGTAGCTGCTGGTATTTAGGTTGTGTTGGCTTTTTGTCTTTGGCTGTGTTGTTTTTTTTAAAAAGCCCGCGGTTCATTGTGAACCCTTTGCTTCTGCTCGCCTCCCTCAGTGGCGGCCCCGCCCCGGAGCTGGCCTGTGTTTGGGTTGTTATCCAAAACAACGTTTGGCTTGCCTTTCAGAGTATCTCCCAGCCAGTGCCCGAGGGCACCTGTCTGTCTGCACTTGGTCATGGGTCCCAAAGGGTGTGTGCTGCTCAGCCAAAACCCCCTGGTTTACGTGTACTTGCATAGCTGTGATCTTACTTTCAGAAGGACAGAGGTTTATTTTGGCCACTCTGCACCCTAAGCCCATTAGCATCATGTAAATTCCAACTCAGTCCCCCGTTGGACAAGGTTTCTGAGGTGTTAAGAAGAGGAAGGGACTAGAAAGTGTCACCTTTTCCCCAAGGAGCAGCTGGTGGTTTTGAACTGCTGACCATGTGGCTTACCAGGGCTCCTTGAATCACTCGGTTTACTTTAATACTCATTAGCAAGCAGGTACGTACATTCATGGAAAGGAGTCACAGGTTTGCACGGCGAGATTATCTGCTGCAGCATCTCAGTTCTCTTTAGGGGACTGTCCAGACTGGTGTGTGCCTATGGGCAAAACAGTTAATCAGCCTCATCAGTCATCAACCTGTGGGGTCAGGATCTCCCTCAGCATACAGGCTGGACCCAGGCACGTACCGCTCCTTTTTCATCTACCATTGTCCAAACGTTGTGGTAGCTTCTCTTCCTTCTGACATTCTTATGGGGCTTGGAAGGAAATGAGCCTGAACCACAAGGTCAGCAGTTCAAAACCCCCAGCCACTGTACAGGAGAAAGATGAGGCTTTCTGCTCCTGCATAGAGTTACAGCCTCAGAAGCCCCCAGGGTGGTTCTGCTCTGTCTTGTGGGATCTCTGGGTGAAAATAGACTTGCTGGCAGGTGGGGAGGGAGGGAAGTAAACCCAAGGAGTCTGCAGGTGGGTTCTTACGGGCTGTGGCAGAGACCACCCACTTCTGCTGGTTTGACCTCAAGGACCCACTACTGCACAGCCACTCACGCCGTCTGCCCTGTAGCATAGCATCAGGCCCAGTGATGCTAAGCCCCTCAGACAGGAAGCAGAGGTTCTAAGATACCCCCCTCCCCACCAGCCGAGCTAGACCCAGGCCTGTCTTAATATCATTAGGGTAGTTTTGTCCCACAGCATCCCTCTGATTAAACTGATCACTTAAATTTTATTGGTTTTATCATTTTGTTGGCACTTAATTTGTGTATTTACTTTGATTTTAAAGCACTTAAAGGCTCTTCAGACTGAACTCACTGCCATCAGTCAATGTTGACTCATGTGGGTTTCCCAGACTAACTTCACCGGAATGGAAAGCCCAGTCTTTCTCGCGGAGCTGCTGGTGGTTTTGAACTGCTGGCCACGCGGATCGCTAAGCACACCACCACCGGGGCTCCTGCAGAGTATCCACTTTCAGGTTCACGCCTGTTGACATGTGTGATGGCAGTAGTTTCCCAGCTCTGGCAGGCAGGCAAGCAGCCCTCCTAGACAGTTCAGTGCATTCGGTGACTCACGTAGCTAGAGTGCCATGAATTGTGGAGTGCTCTTGGCGGATGGTTACATGTGGGACTGCTAACCACAAGGCCAGCCGTTCTTCAGGAGGAAGACGGGGCTTTCCACTCCTGTGGAGAGTCACAGGCACGGAGCCTAATGGGCACTTGTACCTTGTGCTAGGAGGGCGCACCGAGTCAGCACTGACTCTGGCGGTGAGGGTCTGCCTCTTGGGTGGAAATAACAGTTGAGTCCCATATGGATTATTTCAGTCTTGTGTGAGCAAAATTCGGGGATTGGGAGGTTGTTGTTGCTTTTGTGTTTTTTTATGATTTGATTTAGTAATGTTTAAATTAACTGCTAAGAGAAAGCCTAATCTTATCAAGGTCTTCAGGCAGTAGAATTCAGTGTGTTGGTCGTCAGCAGGCATTGCCACGCAGTCAGAACTGGTTTAGTATGTTAGCAGTAATTTGACTAGAATGGATGGGCGGACATTTTAGAGTTGCATTCGGTCCAAGCCACTTTTGCCCGGGGGCGGGGGGAGGGGGGCTCTTCAAATTGTTCCCACTCTGGGTTCCATTTCTCATCCATAGTTAAGTGTTCACAATAGTCACTGAGCAGTTTTGGTCTTTAAGATTGCCCCTTTTAGTGACCCCCATAATCTGTTATCATCCACGGCGTTGGGTCCTTGTGCAGTCAATACTGGCTGAGAATGCAGGATCTGGTATTCTCTCCTTTCAGCCAAGATCCGTCTGGTCAGCAGTGCAGGCCCTTGTGCTGGGTCTTCCTTTGCATCTGCCTGAGGATGTGGTGGCTCCCTGTCATGCTGCTGTAGCTGTTTTTGGATTATCTTCGGCAAAATTTTATTTGTATATGGTATTAATGATACTGTTTGATAATTGATCACCTTTCTCTGGAATGGGCGTGTTTGTGGGTCTCGTCAGTGAGTTAGCCAGAGAGCTGTCTTCCAGGAGTGTCCGCATTTCTGAGTGGGCGCTGGCCTCCTGCCTTGCATCCCTTTAGCCATCTGTTGGGACGTCTCCATGAGTGTTCATCCTGTCAGCCCCCGGAGTCTTGTTTGTGCCAGTGCCTTCCCGGAGCTGAGACTTGTTCCTTCGGTAACATGGGTTTTGATCACATGCTTCCTCCTGAAATGGTTTGGATGTCCACCGGTTCTTTTTGGCACAATGACTGTCCTTCCATCTTGCTGCTTCCCCTTTGTTCAGTAGCCTTTGATATTTAAGAACCCTTCAGTATGGCAGTTGAAGACTTAGTTTTTTTCTCTAGTTAATTTTGGTTGAGGAACGCTGGACACGTTCTTCCTTTCGGCTTTCTAACACCAGGTCAGTGGGTTAGATTTCATTGTCATTCTTGATCTCTGGCGGCAGCCTTCTGTGCAGGGCACTTTCTGCAGTCACCCCTCATGTTAGTTACTGCTTGACATTCAGTCTCTTCTGGCCTCCCTGTTCATCTTTCTAAGTACCTTTTTGCTCTCTTCATGTCTAATGGCCGTCATGTCCTCTCATAGCTCACCCGATCTTCCCGCCTTAGTGCTCAGTGAGTCAAATCTGTTCTTGAGATGTTCTCAGAGTTCAGGTTGGGTGCATACGATGTCATATTTTGGCTTGCTGAGGGGTGGCACTACCTTGACTCCAACACCAGGCAAGAAAACAGTCATTAGTGCTCAGTGCATTGAATCTGCCCTTGAGATGGTCTCTGGATTGTGGTAGGAGGTGCTCAGGGTTGTGCTCGGGCTCTCGTGCACTTGTTTTCATATTCTTCAGCTTCAACTTGAACTTGATGTGAGCGGTTGAAGATCTGTCCCTCCGTGGGCCCTCACCTTGTTCTGATGAGGGTACTGAGTTTCTTCTCCACAGATAGAGTCCGTTTTGTCCCTGTGAGGCGAGGCCCATGTGTGTAGTTGTTTATGTTACTGTGAGGGAGGGGACATTTGTAATGAATACTTCATTGGTCAGACACAATCCTATCGGGCTGTCTTTAACATCATTGCTAGCACTGAGGCCGTGTTTTTAACCAGTGAGCCTCTTTCCTTGTTTCCAGCTTTCGCATACCAGTCACTAGTAATCAGTACATGTGGACTGCATGTTTGGTCCATGCAGACTTCAGGAATTGGTAAAAATACCTTTAATTTCTTCGTTTTGTTATTGGTGCATGACGTTGGTGTTCTGTGTGTTTGGATGCTATCCTTGTGCTGGCAGCACTAGACTTTAGGCTGGGTCTTGAAACTTGATGTCTAACGAGGACTGTGATGATCGTCTGGTTGCGTGCATCATTGCTGTAATAGTAATAGGTATGTGGTTGTCCGGTTCAGCCGTGTTGGCTCACTGTGGCCTGGGATATCCGTCTCCGTGCATTCCATCTCATTTCCATGGCTTTCCACTTTGTTCCTTCGGACTACGCACATCCACGTTCTGATTATTATGGTCGTTTGCAGCGACCCCTCTTGTTTTGAGCCCCATCACCAAGTAACCGAAACAAAACCTCAAATTCACTCTTAACAAGTCACCTCTGACTCTGGGTTTCCGAGACTCAACTTTTCCCGAAGGGGAAAAGCTCATCTTCGTCCTGCAGAACAGCTGGGTCTAGGAGTGCTGAGCTTGCAGCTCGCAGCCCAGTGTGTGACCCCATTTGCCAGCAGGCCTCTCAGTAAATAAAAGGCCTTTGGGAACTTTGCCCCAACCACACCGTGAAAGTCAGCTCTTCTTAGAAGAATGTGCCTTTCAACCTGCGGGGCTCGCCTCCTGGTCCAGCGCTGGGCCAGACCAGGGTTCACCACTGCTGGGAGGGTTCTGTGGCTAACCTCCCAGAGGTGGACAACCTGTTGGCTTCCTGTTTGGTCTTAGTGCTGCGAAACCTGCCCACCCTGGGGGACCCTGCACGCAGTAGGTCGTGGTCCAACACTGTAAGACTCTCCAGGTCCCCGTGTGTTACTGGGCTCTGGACACCACAGCCTGAAAGTGGCTGCTTGGTAGTCCTTTGAACGTTTGCCCTGCAGATGTGGGTTTCCTTCGGAAGACAGTTTTGTGTGTCTCTTGCTTGGGATCCCACTTCCCTGACAGGTGTGTGTTCCTGACCTTAATGCCTTGCTCTGTGTTTTGTGCACAGCCGACATCATTTCAACCGTGGAATTCAACTATAATGGGGACCTTCTTGCGACTGGAGACAAAGGCGGCAGGGTCGTGATTTTCCAACGGGAACAAGAGGTCAGTGAGTTAGCCCACAGCCCGGTGGCATCCATCAGCCTGATCATGTGACTTAGGAGAAAGCAAGCAGGGCGATTGTCTCAGTGCTGAGTGTCATCTAGACTCAGTTACGTGGCATCTGCCATGGAGAAGCTTCTCTCAGAAGCTGAGCCCGAGGGAAGGTACTCAGCCAGCCAGAGTAGCATGTGCGTCAATATCCTTGCCTCCTTCCCATGCCTGCGGAAAGTGAGTGGACATGACCAGCGCTCCACATGACAGCCCAGAGGACTCATGACTATTACTTAAGTTTTAAATAAATGTGGAAAGAAATAATTGGACCTAATTTTTTATAATTGCTGTTAGTAAACCACTGATTCCCACAGGTACATTTGCCCTTGAGCCTTAGCATCCTATGAGGACGTGTCTTGGGTGCTCACTTGACTGACAGACATTCTTGAAGGTGCCCCTGTCAGTATTTAAGAGATTCTTCCCTTACCCAGCTAGTGTCCCAAGCACATGTTGAACTAGCTCATAGAGTGACACTTGGAGGCTGTAGCAGGCAAACTGGGAAAGGCTCCCCTTCCCTGTGCTGCTCGACCCTGGAGAGCACCAGGGGCCTCATGGGCATCTCTTGGCCAACCATGGTGAAGTGGTCCTGCTGAGCCTGTCCCCAGCGGAGAGAGAGGGTCTGCGGCCTAAAGACGAGAGGCCCCCTCCCTCTCCTCAGAACACTCCCTCCTGAGGCATCGGGTGTCTCCATCCTGGCAAACCTCTGCCATGTGTAGTGGACCGCTCTTAGAGTGCTGGCCCTGTCCAGCCTGTCTCCTTGGCATCGTTTCTCTGCTTGACAGTCCTGGCTGAGGGGAGCCCCATCACCTCTACCACTCATCTGTCCCCACATTAATGGCACGAGTCTGCAGAGCACGCTTGTTTCCTTGTGCACTAGATTGTTTGCCGATGTGCATTTTCGTGGAGAGGGGAGCGGGCACAGTGAAGAGAGAGACCCCTCTCACAACACTCCCCTGGTAGAGACCCTTCCACACCCTTACCAAGGGATGTTCGAGTCCCACGTGGTCTAGTCAAGAGGAGAAGCCCACCGAGTCTTCTGGGTGACATTAATTGAAAAACAAAATATTCCAACATAGGAAGGGTTATTTCTTTTTAGATTTTGATTTCTAGGGCAAGAATTACGCAAAATGCTAGTTTCTTTTTCCCTTTTTTGTCTAATTTTTAATTTTAAAAATTAAAATTTTTAATGTGCATAAACTTTATTTCAGGCCTCTAGAAGATTCCAAGGATTGGATAAAAATAGATCCACAAGCCCACCCCAGCTTTTATTCCATCATACACAGAAAGGAGTGGGGGGAGGCAGTGCAGGCCCCTGTAGCACCCTCTTCACTGTACACACACCCCAGTCCTGTTCTTCTATGGGGAACCAGCCTCCCTACAACTGAATGGGTCTAAGGGGCGGTTGTGTAATTGAGGAGTAGATTAAAGAGATATCAGACAAAGTAAAGCATACAGGGCTCACCTCTTATCATGACCTCAAGCCAGGCCCGAGCAGATAGAATAACGTAATCTCGTGAGGTTATATAATCTGAGGCACGCAGACCATGGTAAGCACATACATAACAGGAAGGGGTTGTACAAGAGGTATACACGTAACAAGAGGGCAGTGAGCTAGGGCTTTACAAGCAATAGGAAGGGCAGGTGCTAGGGACACACATGATAGGAAGGCACAGATGTAACAAGATGGGAGGGCTCTAAAATCAAGATGGCAGCCTAACCTTGGTCCTCTGAGTTGGCTTGACCTTAGTTTTGTTTGAGCTCTCCTTCAGGGGAACAATCCATCATCCTTACCAGAAGAGAGTGGGCCCTACTTTGGGTGGGACAAAAAATGGGGTCTGATTGCTATAGATGGCTGACAACCTTCAGGCAACCTTCAGGCAAATAGACCATGTGTTTGCAGCCAGCACCTTAAATTTGGCATTATTGTGGAGGGCCATCGTGGGGAATAACATATGGGGACACATTTCCAACCCACGAACTTGAAGGTTTCCTCCACGGGCTGGAGCCTTGGCCTCCCAGACTCCTTAACGTCGGAGTGTTGAGGGTTTGCCTGCGGACGCCCTCTTCCCAGTTCTGCTCCCATGTTCCCTCTCTGGTTTTCGTCCATCCGCCTTCCCAGAGGCTGAGCTGCGTCTGTCTGCCCTGATCTGTAGGTGGTTCTGTGTGTGACACTGGTGTCGGGGGCCTTTACGGTGGCACAGTGGCTTACAAGAGCTGAGCCTCTAACCACAGGTCCAGCCGTCAAGAGAGATGAGGCACTCTGTCTGCTCCTGTGGCGGCTGAGCCCCAGAAACCCACGGGGTTCTGCTCTGTCCTGTAGGGCTGCTGTGAGTTGGACCATCTCAGGGACAGTGGTTGTCAGGCGTGTCCTCGCTGGCCTCAGGGTTCCAGTGCCTTGGTCTCCCTGCTGTGAGGAGTGAGGGCTGTGAATCTGGCCGGCCTGCTGGGCCGAGCAGTGGTTCTAGAGCAGGGTCTGCGGCCTTTTCTGTGCCTGCCACAGAGGCCAGGGCAGGCGGTGGCTGTGTGCCAGCAGCTCCCTGACTGGAGCCTGTGACACAAGCCCGCCCTGCTCCAGGGAACCTCTGGAAAGGGGGTGGGGGCGTGGGGCAGCGTGGTCTCCCTCTCCTTGCCCCACTCATGGACTTCTGACCTCGGTGCGTGGAGGGCTCTCTGATCCCAAGTCTGTCCACCACTTAGAACAGAAGTGGCTGGCGACACTGGGCCCCATAGCGTGGCCATTCACTTCCCTGCGCTGTTCACGGACACACTGCTCCTGTCTCCTTGCAGAATAAGAGCCGCCCTCACACTCGAGGAGAGTACAATGTTTACAGCACCTTTCAGAGTCACGAGCCAGAATTTGACTATTTGAAGAGTCTAGAAATTGAAGAAAAAATCAATAAAATTAAGTGGTTGCCGCAGCAGAACGCAGCTCATTTTCTACTTTCTACAAATGGTGAGAGCTTGTGTGTGTGTGTGTATGTGTCTGTCTGTCTGTTGGATTTAGGGTTTTATTTTTTAAATTCCCATTCTGGGAGTTTTTCTGCCTTAAACTTTGAAGGGAAGGCAATAAAACAGGACACCCGCAGTATTTCAGCGTTCCCAGACTCTTCCTCTTGATTCTGTACAATGTGAAATGTGAAAAGATTCCTTGCTTATTATTCAATAAGACCTGCCAGCCTTTCTGATGGAATATTCAAGTGATGGAAGTGTATGCTGTGATTTTTATTTTCAGATAAAACTATTAAACTGTGGAAAATAAGTGAACGGGATAAAAGAGCAGAAGGTTATAACTTGAAAGACGAAGATGGACGCCTTCGAGATCCGTTTCGAATCACAGCACTGCGGGTACTCACTGCCTTTTCTTTAAGATGTCCACACTTCCCAGAATTAAGAATGCACCTGCTAAGTCAGCTGTGTGGTGATTGTTCTTCCATGGGAGTTCTGGGAGATAACGATTGCTTGGCTCATGGAATTCATTTGTCTTAAGTCCTTTTTAGTAAGTGGTTGTGTTTATGCACCTTTATTAAAAAACTGGCTTCTCTCTACACTAAAGCAGAAGTCCCGCCACCCTCTGTCCTCGCTATAGGGCAATGGTGGAGAAAACGTGGGTGTAGCTCCCCACCAGTTATTTCTGTGTCCACTTCCTGGACTGCGTCTGTGTCCAGAATAGCACAGAGCACCACTGAGGTCCACACAGGACTGAGAACACGTCCGATGAGCTGGCCACAGGCTGCGGGGCTGCGTTTGGTTCCGTGCCAGGGCAACGGGACTTGGTGCCCTCTGGGTCAGTACTGATGTGACACGAGTCCTGGTCATTCTCTTCCCCTTTCGTGTGTGAGTCTTCACTCCCGCCTTGGAACTGCCGAGTGTGGTATCAGATGAACAAGGGCTTCCAAGAGTGTGTGCAGTCAGAGAGTAGAGAGACTGTGGATTCTCCCTCACACCTTTTGAAGCCCTTCTACCTCACTCGGAAACAGTCCGGGCGCCTAGTGTTTGAGGTTGACATTGGTTGCAAGGTGGGACCTTCAGATGGTGTCTTGGATCAGATGGAATGAGGCGAGGGGTCAAGCACAGGCCAGTTACACAGAGCAGCACAGTGGTGCTGTTCACAGTCCCTGCACCCCAAGCCCCTTGTCCCAAGGAGCAGCTCGTGTGTCTGGAGAGGGCTGTGGGCTGGTTCTCGGGAGGTTCACGTGTGTGAACGGAGCTTAGTGAGCCAGTGCAGAGCCGACCGAGAAGGGGCTGGGTGTCACAGTGGGCATACATGCACAGGAGTGCCAGGGACTGGCTGGTCCCGTTGGGTTGCATCTCCATCCTCCCTCCGATGCTGCCAGGCCTGCTGTGTGCTCAGGCCCAGCTTGCAGATCCCTGCTATTCTGCCACAGCCAAGCGCCCCGGGCCTGCGTCCTCCCTTCAGTGAGAAAGGGAAAGGGACTTTCCAGTCAGCACAGGTAGACTGTTGGCTGCAGACCCCATGCAAGCACACGCCTGTCTCCTCACTTCCCTTGGTTTGAGGGGTGGGCCTCATGGTGGCTATTTTCAGAGCGGCTTTGAACCCCAGTGAAGCATGTGTAGACCCCCCTGAGGCCATGGGGCTAGGAGGAGCGGAGGGCATGGGGCGGTGGCCATTGGAGGGCAGATGGCAGAGTAGAGTGGGGATGCCAGCCCAGGGCCTGGGGGATGTGGTCTGAGTGCCAGCTCACTGCTTCCCTCACAGGGCTGCAGCAGCCCCTCATAGCCCGTGTCCTCAGCCCCACCCCCTGGTCGTTGGGTGCCCCGTGCTACCTGCTGTGGGTACATGGGCTCGTGGGATGCTGCTGTGGCCTTGGCTTGAACCCTGTCTCCATCATTCCCAGGTGCCCATATTGAAGCCCATGGACCTGATGGTGGAAGCGAGCCCTCGGCGGATCTTTGCAAACGCTCACACCTATCACATCAATTCCATTTCCGTGAATAGTGACCATGAAACGTATCTTTCTGCAGATGACCTGAGGATTAACCTGTGGCATTTAGAGATCACAGGTAGGAGTTTTAGTATCCTTCGTCCGCCGGCAGCGGGCCGCCGGGCGGTGCCCGAGCTCAGAATTCTCTGGTGAGGTCTCCTGATTCGGGGGTGGGGGGCTGGGGTGAGCTGCAGGGCGAAAGCCTGCTGCACTCGGGCCCTTTGACCAGTGTGTGTTGGGAAGGTCATCGCTGGTGTGCTTGTTTTTCCTGTGACTTAGGAGGGGATAGAGGAAGTACGTGTGCCTTCATTTTGATTGTTGGTGGCCTTGAACTGGTTTCGTGGTTAACGTGGCAACATCATTAGTGCATGGTCTCTGGGGCCCTTGGAGAAGCGTTCATGGCACCGTGGCTAAAGCGTGTGGCTTCCCATGGAGAAGTCAGCTGTTTGAAGCCACCAGCCACCCTGCAGGAGAAAGATGAGGTGGGCCCCTCTACAAGGCTCCCTCCGAGTCAGAGCTCCCTGGTGGCGGCTGCAGGAGCCAGCTAGGTCCCTCTGGTCTCTGCTTGCTTCGGGTGGCTGGCTCTGCCTCTATGCCTCCTCAGCTCAACTTGGGGGCATTCCCCAGCGGAAGGGGTCTGGGCCTCAGGTCTGCCAGCCCTCCCCTGGAGAAGAGCGTTGTTGGCAGCCCGATGGGGGCCCTTTCACGCTGGCCTGCTAAATAGGTACCCATCCGCTGCACGTGGTGCAGATGGGGCCCACAACAGAAGCCCCTTTGCTAGAGTGCGTCTCTCGTAACTGGGCCAAAAGTGGCACCCTTGCCAGTTGGTTCCTGGGGAAATTGGGCTCCAGGCACCCCCTGTGGGTAGTTTGATGGCTCTCGTCTGGCAGCGAGGTGACACGTCGATGCCTGCAGACACAGGTTGTTGGCTGGTCTTCAGCAGAGCATCTCACCTCAGGAAGAAAATTCCGCTTTTGAGACTGGGGGGAAAGTTTTTCTTTTTTTATTCTTAAAGAATTAGACTATTTGTTAACTTGGCGTCTGTTTTAGTGAATTGCTTTTTTTGCCATCTTTTGTCATTTCTTTTCCCGTTGGGAAGCTGGGTGTTTTCCTTAATTGCTGTGAGAACATGTACCATCGGGGGTTCTTTCTGTCTGCATTCACCAGACTCACGGAACCTGCCGGCACGGGAGCGTGGGTTTCCCAGCACGTCCTCCAGTGAGGTCACTGGGCTTCTGCAGGTGGCGTGCCCTCTCACCACGTCCACACGCCAGGCTGCATCCCTGCGGGGCTCCAGTCGTGTGCCTTCCAGGGGTTCCTGGAGCGTGGGGAGCGGGGCAGGGCTGTAGAGTGAGCGGGAACAGCATTCCCACAAAGTTCTCCCAGCCCTTCCCGCTCCTGTAGCATGGGGTGTGCACGGGCAGGATGGGCAGCACTCTTCAGCACAAGGCGCCTACTCTTTATCTCACCAACATCGCTGGCAGTTTTCCTGAAACTTCTTTCTAGTGGTCATCTGTGTCCTTCCGCAGCCCCCGCTGGACAGCAGTCAGCCCCCTCAGACCAGCTGCCTGGGGACCCTGCTTGGCCATCTGACTAGGCTGAGCAGCCTGTCCGCGGACAGCCCTGTCCTCACCGAACCTGCCGGTGCTGCAAGCTGTCAGGCTGTACTCGGCCCTCTGCGGTCAAGGACAGCCGCACTGTCCCATCCTCTCCCTGCCCCTCCCTCACTCCCTGGGGCTTGTCTGCTTCCCACAGGTGTGCTGGAGGCGCCATCGGGCCCCGCCCTTCTGTGGATCTGTAGCTCTTCTCTCGTGGGTGTGGGGGACGGGGGCTTTGTGTGCGGCCTCGAGCAGGGCAGGCTGGTGTGTGGGGTCATGGAGGGACAGGACATGGGGGCAGCGGAAGCTCACTTCCCTGAACACGTAGCCAGGGTGAGTGTCCGGAGGTAGGTCCTCGTCGAACAGGCTTTGTTCCATCTGCGTCCGGCGCCCCGGGCAGGTGACTCTTGACATCTCTGTTCATGACCAAGGCTTCCTGGAGATGTGTCCTCAGTGTGGCAGGGACTGGGCAAGAGAACCTTCTAGGGATGCCAGGCTCCACATCTCACCTCCCAAATCCTGGGACTAGGGTCTGCCTCGCCCGGTGCCTGCTGGACGCTCGCTCATTACAAAGCCTTAACGACCCTCAGACATTGTGGACATCAAGCCGGCCAACATGGAGGAGCTGACGGAGGTGATCACGGCCTCCGAGTTCCACCCGCACCACTGCAACGTCTTTGTCTACAGCAGCAGCAGGGGCTCCGTCCGCCTGTGCGACATGCGGGCCGCCGCCCTGTGCGACCAGCACGCCAAGCGTGAGTGCCCCTCGCTCAACACTGGTGGGTGGGTGGTCTCGTCTTCGTACAGTTCTAATCAGGAGCTGCTGCTGGCCTCTGCGTCTGTGCTGGGCCGAGACTGGAACATGTCCCAGTGTGGTCATCTCCCACCATGACCCTTGGTCCAGCAGTGACAGCCCGGTGTTTAATCCCAACAGCCTGAGGTGCCCAAGCCTCCCAGGTAAGAAAGGTGGCTTTCAGAAATACAACACAAGAAATTGGCCCCAGTGTGTAGAACACCTGGGCTGTGAACCATGGCATCTGAGAGGGCTCCTTCAGGGCTCTGGGTGGCAGGCTGACCAGTCCTCTCTCTCATCAGTGGACGTAGGCACTGTAGCTTGCATCTTATTTGCATTGCCCACAAGTTGTCCTGTCCTCTTGGTGGGTCACATCACTGCCGGGTGCAGGGTCTCCGGCTGCTGAGCTGAGCCCACCCTGGTGTCTTCCAGTTTTTGAGGAGCCGGAAGACCCCAGCAGCCGGTCCTTCTTCTCAGAAATCATCTCGTCCATCTCGGACGTGAGCTTCAGTCACAGCGGCCGGTACATGATGACCAGGGACTACCTGTCAGTGAAGGTGTGGGACCTCCACATGGAGAGCCGGCCTGTGGAGACGTACCAGGTGAGGCAAGGTGCCAGGGGCTGCCATCCTGGCCCCTCGCAGCATCTCTGACCTGTGTGCACTGCCCCCCAGGTCCACGAGTACCTGCGCGGCAAGCTGTGCTCCCTGTATGAGAACGACTGCATTTTCGACAAGTTCGAGTGCTGCTGGAGCGGAGATGACAGGTGAGGCCGCTTCCCCCCACGTCACACACACACACAGGTCAGCTCCGCTGACAGCATGCCAGGAAGAGGTAGCCCTCTGCTAGCCCACTAAGGGCACAGGCTCTGTCCTTAGGTTTACAAGGGTCTTGGGACGATGGTCTCAGGTGTCCTCTGCTCCCTGTTTGCCCAAGAACTTGACTTCTTAGGAACTTGTCTGGAGCCAGCAAGCAGTAGGGCCTGGTCAGGAGGGTCAGTGGTGAGAGCAGCCTTGCCCTGGTCCTGGCGTTGGCGGGGGAGGGGGGGGTTCGACTCTGGCAACTTGTTTCTTCAGCACTCTGTGCTTCTTGGCAACTTCTTACCCTCCTCTGCTCCTGCCCAGTCAAGAC